TGCTTTGCTCCCTGAATATATTAGGCACATCTACCTTAGAACTTCTGCTCTCTTGGTCTGAAATGTTGGTCTCTAGATATTTGTGTGGTCAACCCTCTCACTGCTGTCAAGCCTTTGCTCAAATGTTGGCCCCTCACAATGATACCTACCTGCAATCCTCACCTCCCTCATTCTACCTCCTGTCTTTCTCAATCTTTCTTGTTGTGTTCAAGTATTTTAAAACACTCACTCTCTCATTTCTTTTAAATGTACTATCCCTGCTGAGAAAATGCATTACAAAAACAAAAATTTTGGTCCAGTTTATTACATCTTCAAAATGGCTAGCATAGCAAATGGAACATAGTAGACAATAAATATTTATGGAATTGAGAACTGTAGTTAGATTTTTAAATGTCCTTATCTTACCACTCTAAAGACATTTCACCAAAAATAAATAAATAAAAAAAAAATAAACACATTTCATGACTCCTGAAGCTTGAGGTCATTAATTACATTGCTACCTCCTAACAGATCTTTTTTTTTTTTTTTTTTTTTTTTTTGTCGAACCAGGGATTGAACTCAGGCCCTTGCGCTTGCCAGGGAAGCGCTTATTCCACTGAGCCATCTCCCCTATGGTAGAAGGGTTTTTTTTTTTTTGGAGGCTCGAAATGCTTTTAGGGCCTTTCTGGTTTGCAGTGACTGTCTGGGTTGGAACCCCAGAGGCTTGAGCTTGAGGGCTTTGTTTAAGCAGGCACTTAAACAACTGAGCTACTGGGCAGGTCCCCGACAGATCTTAAATGGTTGCTCAACATAACTTTCTGAAACTGCCAAAATCTTTTTTTTCTATATGTATTCTGGACTGACTGATTCACATGGCAATAGCTAGGGCACAGACTTCTACTTCAGAATAATTATAGTTTAGTCTTAACTTAGCCAGGTATTCAAAAATATGTATCGAGGGCTATCAGCACACATGATGCATATGGTCAATAGTAGAAAAGCTTTCACCTTGGGGATTTATTAGAATGTGACTAGACTTTTAAGATTGTTGGGGTTTGGCTGGCATAAGGGATCAGGAGGATACTGTAGGCAGAAAGAAGAGCAGGAGCAAACAGACAACAGAGAGGAAAGCCTCTTGTCCAGAGGCAGTGTGAGTGAGGGTCTTCTCTGATCTACTCTAGCCCCCCAGCTAGTGGTGGTGGTGATGGAGAAGGAGACCTAAAAGAGCTGCTCCAAGTAGGAAGAGCCTAGGGAAGTTCACTAAGATGATACATCCTCGGACTCCTAGATCCAAACTTCCTCTTAGCAAACATGGTCATCAGATAACTGGATAGATGAAGGGGTACTTGCTCATTTACACGAGGTATGTGGGCTATAACCATGAGTAAGAAACACAGATCACCAATCGGGGAGATGGCTCAGTGGAATAAGTGCTTCCCTGGCAAGCGCAAGGGCCTGAGTTCAATCCCCGGTTCCACAAAAAAAAAAAAAAAAAAAAAAAAAAGGAGCTACTCTGGCAGGCCCAAAAAAGAAAAAGAAACATAGATCACCAAAACTCAAGAAATCCTTTTGATCAGCTTCACTATAGTTTTCCCTCCAAATTTCATCCTTTGCCCACTGTGCTAACCTTTTTCTACACTACTGTTTGACAGCTATTTACTGTTGTTTATTATAGTCGCATGTAGATTTTCTTACTACAATATTATTAAGTAGATGACAGTTTGTAACCAGAGCAACAGGGATGGATGCCTACTCCAGTTCCCCCTCTGTTGGACCCCTACTCTGACGAGTGTCTTTAACTCTCCTCTAGGCTCATCTAACTTCCATCACTGAAAAAACAAATGTAAATGCTGAGCAATTTCCTACCATTATCTGAATTTATAGAAAATTAGTCCTTATCTAGTTTCTACGTTCTGTGTAGTCCATCCAATTTCTGGTCAACACTATCTGACAATTTACAAATCAGGCTACATGTGGGATAGACTAAAAGAGATTAAGCAGCTAGAGAACTGTGGAACCAAAGGAGAGAAAAATAAAAAAAGCAAATTTGGAGTTTAAAATCAGGCTAAGTGACTACCGAGAGAAAATATTAAAAAAATGAGAAAGTTAGGGCAGAAGAATTTGGTGGTTTAATGATGTTTCAGTTTTATACAGGGTGAGTTTGAAACATGTTGGCAATTCCATGTGGCCACATACAAAAGGTGAGTAGAGCATTTAAACCGCAAGTTGATGGGAGAGGGGACTGCAGCTCCATATACTGAGGTCACTCGCATACCATCCAAGTAGTATTTTAAAAATAGAAGAGGCCTTTTGAGAAGAATGCCTCAATATTATTCCCTGAGAAAAGCAGTGCCACTTCCACTCCTTTAATGTTCTTTCCAAAAGAGCTAATTTGAGTTTAGTAATAAGGAAACTTCAGCCAAATCTAAATGGAGGATATTTTTATAAATGACCAGTATTCTCTGAAAGAGTTAAGATCATGACAAAGACTCAAGAAATGTCAGTGAAGATAGTGAATTAAACTGACAAAAGTATTAAATGCACTGCAGACTACTAAATTGGATCAAGGACAAAGAAGAACATCATCAGGACAGTAAATGTAATCAGGGATCATAGTTAATAGTATTTCATAAACATAAATTTCCTGATTTTGATAACTACATTATTGTTATGTAAGATGTTAGCCCAGAGAAGCTGGGTAAAGAATAAGCTGTAAGTCTGTGCTATTTTTAGCAATTTTTTTCTTATATTAAAGAACCAGAAAAGGGAATAAACAAAAGGTAATGTTTCTATGGATTAACTAAGAAACTTTATGGAAGAATTCAACTGGCTTCAGAGACATATACTCATGTGCTAATCAGACAAGCAGACTGAAATGATTTTGTGGTTATCCTCAAAAATGGAGTCTCTGGGATGGTACACAAGAGCAGGGCAATGGATAGGGTATCAGCTCACTAACTGCCATTAGGTTCTTTATAATTAACATCAACACACACTGGCTTTAATTCACTCATTTTATTCTCAGTGTGACCCAGTGAGGTAGACAGACTACTACTTTTTCAGAGGGGGCAAGCGAAGCTCAGGAAAGGGAAGCGACTCAAATTCACACCGATGACAGAGGGTAGCTACAGCTGAAATATGAATCTGCATTGTGACTTGAAGCCCTGGGTTATGAGATACAAGGCAAGTTGATGTAAATACACAGCTTCATCTCTTCAATGTCAAATAAGGCAAGGGAAGTGAAGTCTACTCTGTAGTTTGAATCGTAATCTATTTGTTGTTGCAGATCTATAGTTCTAGATGGTTATTTCATTAATTTTTATAGCCATGTTCACACATGATATTTTGTACCTGATCCAGATGCCCCATAACTTGGAAGAAATTCTCAATAAAGGTCATGATGTGATCAAACCACTATCTAAGAAAAGGATAATGCTGGCTAAAGATAAAGTTCTTCAGGCACCAACAAGTAAGATTTAATGCTTATTCTTTATCAAGACTTCTCTGTTCAATGGTTTAATATTTTCTCTTATACGAATAATGTTCCTCAAAATCAGCTCCTACTCTATTCCCTTTCAATCTTTGAAGGTCTTCATTATGTTTCCTTTATTACTAGCTATGGATGACTCCTTCACTAGTCTTCCTGCTGTAATTGTTAAGCTATTCTAGTTGATTCCCTTCAATACTACTTAGTTATGAAAACAAAGCCAAACTTAATCTGATGTTAAACCATGTTTAAAAACTTAAAGTGGGGCCGGCCAGATAGCTTAGCAGATTAAAGTGCCTGCTTAGGCAGATGCACGGACCGAGGTTTGATCCCCATTGTACCAAGTGTTGGCTCTGCCCCTGGGGCCTGCTAAGACAGTGATTGAAACTGGCGGTGGGGTTGAGCTCCTGTAATCCCCAGTGCTTGGAAGGCTGAAAACAGCAGGATCACAAGTCCAATCTGTGTAGTGAGACCCTATAGACTTTGTACTAAATACAAAAAAAAAAACAAAAAAATGAAAACTTAAAGTAGCTGTTTCCCAAAGGACAAGATGCAAACTCCTCAGCATAGCACATAGGTCACAAGCCCTTTACCCTACAGCTTGGGCTGCTTTCTGGTCAACACAATCTCATCTCCTTAAGTCTGAGTTCAATTCCTGGTTCTGCCAAAAAAACAAAAGAAGAAGAAGAAAAAAAAAAAAAGATTGGCTACCTCAATGCTCTTCTCCTCCTCTTCCTTCACTGCCTCCCCTCCCCCTCCTGCTCCTCATCCTCCTCTTCCTCTTCTTCTTCTTTAAAGGCTGAAGATTCTTTTAAGTCCTGAATTTTTTTGTATACATGCCTTTTTTTCCCCCTAAATGCTTGCCAGCTTTCCTACTCCTATTCCTTCATCAATATTTGAATGAAGTGTCATCTCTTCTGTGAAGCTGTCACTAACATGGACTAAATAGTGTTCTACTAGAGCACTTATTTACATTACAACAACTCACATGTGTTTTTCACACATTAAGTCATCAGCACTTAAAGAGAAAGAATGATGTAGTACTCACCCTTACACTGTATCTGACTGTTTAGTAGAACATCTGACAATGGTAGGTGCTAAATGAAGATATATTGTGAAGAGTAAAAGATAATCTGCCATTCTGAAATTTCATTTTCTCTTGCAAGGTTCTTATTAAACCTTACAAATGCTTCATAAATTCTTTCCCCTATAACTTCACAAGACTCACTCTTATCTGAACTGCACCTAAATCAGTTACTACTTTGTGGTTTAGCATGTTTTCACCTTCAGGTATTTTTCTCTAAACTACAGAGTACACTATTCAGGCAATCTGGAGGTAATTAAAAAGTAACAAAAGGTGCATGACTATTTTCTGATATAATACACTGTGATCATATCAGAGATATTATCTCATTTAAGCAACTCATAATCCTAAAATTGTGTATGCGCTTGAATATGGAGTTTATTACTTCCAAACATATCTTCTTTAGAAAAACAAATAAATAATCGCCCTTCAAAAATGTCCTGCACTTACCTGGGGTTCATGATAAGACGTCGGAAAAAGTAAGTCCAGGTCATATAATCCATTGCATCTTGCTTAGATGTTATTGTACCCCCAGCAATCTCTGCATTCAGATGGTCGGAAAGCACTCCTAATAAACTAGAAAGTGAAAAAGAGATGGGAAGTAGACATTAAACAAAGCACACCTCAATTTATGTCACATAGCCAAGACTTAGGGTGTATGTCCTAAGACACTGCAGGGGCCAGGTCCAGACGGCCTTCCAGAGGCTCGTGTGCTGAAGTCTGACTGCCGCCTGAGAGTTCTTTCAGAAGCAACAGAGCAAGCTGAGCACGAACACAGGCCTCTGGAGCTGTGAGCCAGAACTGATCTGTGTCTCTAAGGCTGCTATTCTCAGGTACTTCATGACAGAGATGAGCTAGAATAGATGGAAAAGGACGGTGCAGAAGACAAACCGTGATGGGGAAATGGGAGATGATGGAGGGAGAAAGGAAAATTATTTGTATACACAAGATAGGTAAGGTAGTTTCACAGCTAGCTTCTTTTAGTTTCTTGAAAAGAATGTTTTGTGCTAATATTGTTTAGACAAGATATCATGCCTACACCTTGTATTTTGATTAACTACTATGTAGAGAGCAATATGTAATGTAATATATTAACTATTAGAACTGGCCTAATCTGTTTTGAAACTCAGTTTCATTGTTTATCTTTTATCTCTTAAAAAACAAAATAAACTGGGTGTGTAGGTGAACACCTGTAATATACCACTTTGGAGACTGAGGCAGAAGAACTGTAGTAAGTTCAAGGCCAGCCTAAAGTACAAAAAGTAAGACTATTTGAAAAATAAAAACAAAAGAAGCAAAAAACCCAAAAAGCCAAAAAAACACCCAAAAAACAAAATAAGTACAAAGCAGATTTTTTAAATATAATTTCTATATCTTCTATGTAACATTGTATGACCAGTGAAGATTTCATTTTAAATAATTTGGTGGGAATTTTGTTTCAGCGTCTTTATATCATGAGGCTATGAAACACATAACATTAAAAATGTACATTAACTAAATTTAATGTGTGTATAACTTTATGAATAAATTTATGTTGTTTTCTTTAAAGAAAAGTATATTTGCATTTGAACATAAAAAATAAGCCAGTCAGAAAGAATCTCATAAAAATACTATAAAGCTATTTTTCAGAATAAGTTATGTAGTAATAATTTCTTGAAGTTAATTACTACTATCGTTATACTATAACTTGATAGACAATACAACAATCAAAAATTTTATTTATTTATTTATTTATTTTTGGGTGGAACTGGGGATTGAACTCAGGCCCTTGTGCTTGCCAGGGAAGCGGTTATTCCAAAAAGCCATCTACCCAGCCCCTATCAAAAATTTTAGGAAAAACCAGCTGCTAGATGGAAAATAACATAGGAAGGAGTTAAGATAATAACTTTCAGAAGAAATAAACTGCCAAGAAATAGGACAGGAACAACAAACATAAAAAATACCTTGGAAGGGGCCAGGGAGATGGCTCAGTGGAATAAGCGCTTCTCTGGCAAGCACAAGGGCCCAAGTTCAATCCCCAGTTTCAGAAAAAAACAAAACAAAACACAACAACAAAAAAAAAACCTTGGAGAACAGAGAACAATTTATTTATAGAGAATGGTTTTTTTTTTTTTTTTTTTTTGGTCGAACTGGGGATTGAACTCAGGCTCTTGCGTTTGCCAGGCAAGCGCTTATTCTACTGAGCCATCTCCCTGGCCCCTAATTTATTTATAAAGCAGTGGAATAAGTAGTAAAACACATTAAAGGATAGCTGGCAAGAAAGCTATGCTAGGTCAAAGGAATGAGCAAAGATATATCCTTCATTTACTTAGTGACTATTAAGTTCATGGACATAAAAACATTCTGGTATTAGTGTTGAGCATACAAAAATGATTAGGTGTATTGAAAAAGTGGCATAAAAATTTTAGTTCTTACATAAAATAAAAAAATGAAGCAATATCTAACAAAAGAAAATGCTACATAAATTATAATGCAAAGGATAACATGCATATATTAAAAGTTTTTTTCAAAAGACAGGATAAAATGATCAGAATAAACTGAATCTGAAACAAGGTTGTTACATTACTCTCAATTCACCAGTGCAGACTGTAACTGGATACACTTAACTTGGATAGCAACTGGTAATATTTATTTGAACAAACCCTATGACTCAGCTATTTTTTTCATCATAACCTGCTATAAGAAGCATTTACACATGAGGTTAGAAAAACAAAATACTTCTTTGCAATGCTATCTTTAGGAGAAAACTGGAAAACTCTCTAAATGCAATTTAATTGAGAAATGAATGAAAAAACTATGGAATATTATAAAAGCCAATATTAATAGTCAGATCAAAGTACAAAGTCATGAAATTTACTTAGCTTTTTGCTAAAATATATTCAGAAAAAAATCACATAAATTATGCACAAGTGTATAGCCAAGCATCAAGACCAGGGCCCTATGTGTCTTCTTCCTGTACTTTTCTATTTATTAAATGCATTTACTGATATCTATTTTCTTCTTAGCCTACTACAGAGGTTCGGGATGCTAGCACAGGACTTGCTTATGGGCAGCAGAGAAATCAACACCCTTGAATCACTTCTTTTCTCATAGGAAAGCTTTCAATATTTCATCATGAAATATGAAGTTCTTAGTTTTTTATAGATAGTTTTTCTTTTTTACCAGATTCAGGAGATTCAATTATATTCCTGTTTGCTAAGAGCTTTAAGGGCGTAGAATTTTTAAAAATGCCTTTTCTTACATAAATGAGATGATCACATGATTTTTCTCATTTTTGTGCAAATGTAAATACACTATGAAGAATGTTTATTTTCAGATAATAATCACTTGATATAAATTTACTTTTATGCACTGGTGAATTTTATTTAGTAATATTTTACTTTAGATTTCTCTACCTATATACCTAAGACAGAGGTTTGCTACATTCCTTTTTTATAAATTTGCTACTGGATTTTAGAATCCAAGTTATTCTGGTCCAATAAAATCAATTGTTAATTTATATTAACTTAAATTTTACCTTGATTCTACTGGAAAAGGTTCATAAAGAAATTTTTTGTAAAAGTCTTTTTTTATATCATGAACCAGAATTACAGCTTTGCCTTGGTCATCAAACTGAGGCCTGCCCGCCCGTCCCATCATCTGGAGCACATCTGTAAGACAAAGAACAGGAGCAGTCTGCGATGTTGTGGTACACTGCACAAAATGTAATGATGGATCTGGGTCTGTGCGCACAACAATGAAGTCACGAAGGGAACAGCATTTTAACAGCATATATACTATTTGTGTCTACTGCACTTAAGCACTGTGAATTAATGATTTACTTAGAAAATTTGTAAGTAAATAAGCCAGTCATTAAGATACAAAATTGAGTATCCACAAGAATATGCTCACATTATTCATAAAACAGCAATAAAAAGTTCCTTCAAGTAAATAATGGAATATGCTGTTTAACAGATATTATCATTTTAATTAAATAAAAATAAAACAGATAAAGGAAAATTTCCTTAGCACTTATTTATCATTCCTCATGAATTATGGGTCTACTAAGGCCTTATTTCTGCTGTTTAGGGGCTAAATTATTTTCATTTTACAATGTAGGAAAAAAATGACTTAAAAATGATTTTGCTTTTATACATATTCATTGAGAAGGAATACACATTGAGTATATTCCCTCTCCTGAGCACAGAGACTCTGGAGTTCCCTGGAAACACCATTTATCTTAAAACACATTTAAAATGAAACAACATAACAATCAAACTTTATTTTCACAAATAGTTACTACTCATTAACAGACAATAGCTACTACAGTTGTCATGAATAGCTACTAGTAACTTCTTTATGAATTTTAAACCATTATTTATGTTTTTCATGTTTACTAACAAATAGGGTAAACTAAAGTGAATAGAACAGTTCAGTATTTCATCTAGAACTCGCACTGAAAAAAACTTTTCCTTTTTTGTATGTTTTTAGGGAAAATACAAAAAACACCTTACAGGGTGTTCAGGGTCTCACTACTAGATCAGACTCATAGTGGTCTGCCTGTTTACAGCCTCCCAAGAGCTAGGATTACAGGTGTGCGCCAACATGCCCAGTCTCAATTGCTGCCTCAGTGCACCAGGGGGGGGGGGGGCGGGGGTGGCATAGCAGGCCCGTGAATCAAACCCCTGGTGCCTGTGCTTGCTTGCAGGAGCTTTGAGCTATTTGGCCAGACCTCCAGTTTTCTTTGTATGTTTAAATGTGACCAACTCTCAAAAAGTTAATTCATGCAAATGTATCTCTGCAAATGTAAAAAATTACCTGTAATGGGAAAATCCACATAACGTCTTGCTTTTCCATCATAATATTCTGTTCCCTTAATAATTACTAAGTGAGCTGGAAAGTTCACGCCCCAGGCTAATGTGCTTGTAGCAATAAGAACCTAAAAATAAAAAATTGTACCTTTATTCTGAGTAAAATACAACTTCTAAGTCACATTTAAACGTGTACAAGAAGAAGAATGGTACCTGAACTTTGCAGTGCACGAACAGTTCCTCAACTGTTTTTCGGTCCCTTTCATGGAGCCCGGCGTGGTGCATTCCTATTCCAAAAGCCAGTGTCAGCTTCAGGTTGGAATCTTTCACTGTCCCAATGATGTTCTCCATCTGCAAACAAAAATATCATTACAAGATACAGGAGAATTAACTTTGAAATTTTCTTTCTCTTTTCAAATTTTCATATTGGGGAGAGCTTCCTGCTACCCCGTGCCAGCGGGACCTGCACATCCCAGCCCAGGAGCAGCGTGGGTGAGACACTCGTCCACCCCCTTGGAACACCCCCACCACTCCGCAGCACGCCCCCCCCACCCCACCTGCTGAGTGTGAATTTCTGCCGCATTCTGGGGACCCCCAGATCCAGTCCTAGCCCAGGCTCCCGTAAGTGTGTGGGAGAGCTTCCTGGAACCCTGAAGCAGCCAGACCTGCTGGTCCCAGCCCAAGCGCAGGGTGGGTGAGACCCTCTTCCACCCCCTTGGGTCCCCACACAACTCCACAGCACAACCACCACCCCGCCAGCACAGTGAGAATTACTGCCGTGTTCTGGGGACCCCCAGATCCATCACCCGCCCAGGCCTGGTGAGTGTGTGGGAGAGCATCCTCTACCCCCAACTCCACCTTCTCCCCTCCAGACTCAGCTCAGGCCTGGACTACAGGCCTGGTGTGAAACCCTGCAGCTGCAATCCCTGCAGAGAGAGTAGGGGACAAAGCTACCCAAATAGTTCAGGAGCAGAACATCTTGCAAGAGGGGCACAACAGGATCACTCCCAAGGGCGGCAGCAGGAAGGAGCTGAGCACAGCAGCCAGACCCAAGCCAGACACCGCTGGATAAACCAAAACTTTGTAAATCCGCACCTGAATTTCAGTAGGTGCTAAGGTTATAACTGGACCAAAGCGCTACAACAAAGGTCAGAAGACAGTGCTACACAAAATGACAATGAGAAGGAGCAAAATGCAATCTCAGACCCCAAGCCCACCGATAACAAGTGCAGAGGACACTAACACAGAACAAATTGGAAATCACACAGGTGAAATCAACGAATCAGTGGTTTCTGAAAAAAAGAAACAACTGCAAAAAAAGAAAAAAGAAAAAAAGAAACAACTGCAGAAAGGTATAGAGGAACTCAGATTGGAAATGAAAAAAGAAATCCCTGAATTAATAGCACCTGCAGTAAAGAATCAAATGCAGAAACATATGGAGGAAACCCAGTGCCCACCCAGAACAAGTGCAGAGGACACTAGCTCAGCTCAAATGTATGAATTAATAGCATCGATAATAAATAAGTAACAGCAGAAAGTTATAGAGGAACTCAGAGCTGAATTCTTCTCTACCAGCTCAGCTCAAATGTACGAATTAATAGTGTTGATAGTAAATAAGCAACAGCAGAACGTTATAGAGGAACTCAGAGTGCAATTCTTTTCTGAAATAAAAAAAGAATTCTCTGAATTCACAGCATCTGAAGTAAAGAATCCACTACAGAAACAGGGAGGAAACCCAATCTGAAGAAAACACTGCAGTAGAAGAATTAATAACTGCTTCTAATGAAGACATTGATGAAAAAATAGAGGAGATTAGAAAAATGATGGATTCCTTTAATGAACAATACAGGAAAGAAATAGACTGTATGAAGCAGAGTCAAAGAGATACAGAGGAACTTAAAATCTCATTCACAAGCTTGTAAAACCATATAAGTGAAAGTGAAGACAGAGTTTCAGATCTTGAAGATGCTGGGACAGCTAGTGAAAAGGTAAGAAAAGATCTCTTAAAAACAACTAGGATGCAGGAAACAATAATTCATCACTTGCAAGACAATGCAAAGATGAACAATGTGAGACTTATAGGTATCAATGAGAAAAAAGGAGTCAGTGCAAATGACATTAAAAAAATATGGGCAGAAGTAATAGCAGAAAACTTCCCAAATATGAGGAAACAATCTGACATTCAGGTAACTGAAGCATACAGAACCCCAAGTAACCTCAACCCAACTAAAAATACACAGAGGCACATAATAGTCAAGATTCCAGAAATTCAGCTGAAGAATAATATACTGAAAGCTGCTAGAGAAAAGAAGCAGATCACATTCAAAGGAAAACCCAACAGAATTTCAGCCAACTTCTCTTCACAAATCATGAAGGCAAGAAGAAGAGCACAGAGCAAAGTACTTCAAGTCCTCTATGAAAACAAATTCCAGCCCAGACTACTATATCCTGAAAAACTGTCTTTCAAGTTTTATGGCGAAGTTAAATACTTCCATGACAAAGAACAAAAGAAGAATTTCATGGTGACAAAGCCAAGCCTATACAGGCTCCTGAAAGATGTTCTAGAGAGGAACCAAAATGATCAGAACTCCACGAATGAGATCAGATGCAACCAACTAAATAGGGTGAACAATTAAACACAGGAGAAAAAGGAGTAAACAACAACAGGTAAATAACATGTCAATTGTAAGTCAATACATCGCAATTATAACCATCAATGTAAATGGAATCAATTCACCAATTAAGAGAAATAGACTGGCATAGTGGATTAGGAAACAAAATCCAACAATATGCTATATACAAGAAACACATTTAACTGATAAAGACATACATAGGCTGAAAGTCAAAGGATGGAAAACAATACTACATGCCGAAACAAGGCAGGAGGCATTACAGTACCTGACTTGAAACTATACTACAAGGCTACTGTGATAAAATCAGCATGATACTGGCAACAAAATAGACTTGAGGATCAATGGAATAGATTAGAAGACGCTGAAGTACCCTACGAACACACTCAGTCACCTTATCTTTGAGAAAGGGGCCAAACATACACACTGGAAGAAAGGTAGCCTCTTTAACAAATGGTGCTGGAAAAACTGGCTCTCTACATGCCGAAAACTAAAACTTGACTCAGGTCTATCACCACTCACTAAGCTAAAGTCAAAATGGATTAAAGATCTAAACATTAAAGCCAAGACACTAAATCTCCTGGAAGAGAAAGTAGGAGGAACTCTTGAAGACATAGGGGTAGGCAAAGAGTTCATGAACAAAAATCAAATTGCATAGGAAACACTTGAAAGAATGAACAACCGGGACCTGCTCTTTCCAACAAAATGAAGACAACCCACAAAATTGGAAAAAAATCATGACAAATAAGTACTCAGACAAAAGTCTGCTCTCTCGAAGTTATAAAGAACTAAATAACACTAGGGCCCCAAAATTTAAAGACCCAGTCCAGAAATGGGCATCCGAGATGGACACACACTTCTCAGTGGATGAAATTAAAGAAGCGAATAAATATATGAAAAAATGCTCCACATCAGTAGCCATCCGTGAAATGCAAATTAAAACAACATTGAGATATCATCTAACCCCAGAAAGAATGGCTATCATAAAGAAATTAACCAACAACAAATGTTGCAGAGGCTGTGGGAAAAAAAGAACCCTTCTCCACTGCTGGTAGGAATGTAGACTGATGCAGCCATTATGGAAATCAGTGTGGAGACTCCTTAGAAAACTAGGACACGAAATCCCATTTAATCCAGCTATTCCTCTACTGGGAATCTTCCCGGAGGATCTGAAAACATCATATCATAGTGACTGATGTGTGCCTATGTTTATAGCAGCACAATTTGTGATAGTCAAATCTTGGAAACAACCAAGATGCCCATCTAATGAGGAATGGATGAAAAATATGTGGCATTTTTATACAATGGAGTATTATTCAGTTATAAAAAATGATAAACTCGAAGACTTTATATTTAAGTGGATGCCACTTGAAGATATACTCATAAGTGAAATAAACCAGACACACGTGTAAATATCGTATGGTTTCCCTAGTATAAGGACTCAAAAGAAGAAATACAAATAGAAAGGTATAATACAACTAAAAGGAAAGCAAGAACTGAGGACTAGACAATGAAAAGAGAGCATGGAGAAGATTTAGGAAACATGACAGGGGCAAGCCATACAGTTATACGTAGAAGATGGGTAAGGCAATGATCTTAAGAATCATCAGAAGATTTTTGAATTTAGCAGTTAATTGGAATGATTCTCACCCTGACTAACTATATATACAGACACCTGAGAACTAAGCAATTGCACTGAAGATGGCAATTTATACTAGTTTCATGCTTGGAGTGCCTGTCATTCTGGTCTTCTGAATATGGGCTGCTTGTCATGACATGCCAGTTGCTGCTGTGCTGTCTCTCGGGCCGATGATTGTTCAGAAAGAAGGGGGTGGTGAATGAAGGCAGGAGACAGGAAAAGGAATGTTGTGGGACTGTCGTGCCTCAAGGTTGTATGCAGTTAGATTTCTGGACTTATGTGTAAACATAAGAAGTACACAATTCTTTATGCCTATTAAAAATATATTTTAATTTTTTAAATGTTTTTTCATTATATTCTGTAGAGACTTAAAAGTTCAACATATCAATACTTAATGAAAAACACCTGTTCCATGTTATGCCTAAGATGTTTGATATTCAGACAGAGAGTGGGGTTAAGCTTAACAGCCTAGGTTGTATGGTAATAACAATAAACTCTTCTGGAGGGTTAACAACCTAAGTATGCAGATCAAAATTAGAGAAAAAGGAGGGCTGCAATGAAAGCCAACATTTTGGCCCTAGTCTTCCAACGTCAATTAAGACTCAGGACATATGAGAACTTGTACTGTAACGTCATGTAACTTGGTAGTGTCCCAAATTTTCTGATCAAGGAGATTATGGGGCCAAAGAGGAAAGTGATCGATGATGTAGAGTGTGCCTGGGGAGAGTCACATGGAGAGAAAACATTCTCTCAGGCTTTCACAGAGAGCACATTGGCCAAGCAATGGCTGTGACTCATCCACATGGCTGGCACTGATAACGGATCGACAGTCTGAGGTACAGGATCTCTGGATAAATCCTGAGGGGATTGACTGACCTTATCAGATCCAAAAGCTACAACTCCTGTTGCATAGGTCTTGCTTTATCTTGGTGTCAACCATTCAGCAGAAAAGTATAAAAAGAAAGTATAAGAAGTAAAGCCATGCTGTTATGTTGAGCTGTAGGGGACTCAGGTCAACAATTTCTGACACTGCCAGTCAAGTGGAAGACCCAATAGTATTATGGACTACTGGACTCTTTTAG